ACCCAGTGGTAGGGGTCTTTTTTTTTTCCCCTTCCCCGCTTTGCTTGGCTGTCATTTGCTGTTCCCCCCCCCCCCCCCCCCCCCAAACGCCCACTGCAGTTGCACTTTTGCCACTTTTTTTATGGGTGTGTTTGAAAGTCAATAAAACCAGGGTAAATGCTGGCAGTTTGTTAGAAAAGGAGATTCAGATAATGAGGACTCTCATCACTGGCATTTTGTTGGACTTTCCATGGATCCTTTATTCTTGTCTTAACTGAGTCATTTCACTGAGGTGAAGTGTTATACTCTGATAAATTAGTATGAACTGGTATTATGGATTTCCATTTCTCAGTCTGTTTTCCTAAGATTTCTGTTGGATTTTCTCCAATCCAGAATTATAAAACTATTAAACCTTCCACCAGCAGAGGCTTGATGCCATTGGCTCAATATCTTTATTCCTCAGACAATCAGGGCCATGTCCAAATGAGTGTGAACTTTTGGTTCCCCAGGGACAAATAGCAGCAATGCACTTTGCACTGCAGCTACTTGTCCTCAGGGAACACCCGTGCCATGCACGTTTTGGCGCATGGCAAGTTACTACAGGGGCAGTAGGGGAGCCTGGGGTCAGCACTATGCTGGCCACAGTAGCCTTACCTGGGGTTCTGGGAGCCTCCTGGGGCTGCATCTATGGCACTGCTGCTGTGTGGAGCCTGCCTGGCAACCACCCAGCTCCGCTTTTCAGCAACGCATGCTGCCCATGCATATGTTACTCCATTTGTTTTTTTTCCTGTGGGTTTTTCTGGCCTCTGGATCCCTGAACACCTCAGTATGTGGTAAGTGGCACTGGAGATGTGTTTGCAGCACCACATACTGCATGGCCCCACTTGTCTGGATGTGCCTCAGATGTTTGTTTGTTTCTTTGTTCCCCCCCACTACCACCCTGGGATAAATGTACATTGCTATCTTTTAAATGGTTGATTAATTCTGTGATGTTTTAAGTAAACGTGGCTAATATTTCTAAATGGTATGGATTGCAATTGCTCATATTCTCACAATTGCAGTTTTGTAATCTTCTCTACCTGGATGTTAAATATTTTTCATTTGGGACTTGTTTTGTGGCTTTTGCCCTAGGTTTGTGTATTTTCTTTCTTTTCTCAGAAATGTCAGAAAAGCAGTCACCAGCTTGCAAAGATATTTGGAGTATGATTATAAGATTCTCTTAGTGGACAGGGTTGTGCACTGCTGGATGGTATTGGACCTAAGTTGACTGCTGGATACCTGTTAGTGAATGGTACTTAGAAGAATCAGAAGGAAGTCACCTATTGTTCCATTCACAACTCTGGGGATGGCAGAAGTTAAGAGCCCCCATTCTGCAGAATCTTAACCCGGATGATCTGATAAGTGCACATATTAATATCCTTAGTAACCAAGGTGGCAAATTCATTGTGCTAGGTAAGGGGTGGGCAAAATACGGCCTGCGAGCTGGATGCGGCCTGCCAAACACTTCCCTCCAGCCCGTGCAGCCTCTTCAAAACCCACATAATGGTGGCTGCCTCTCTAAAAGCCTTCAGCAGTACCAGCCGTTGGCTGCAGCACCTCAGGCTGTTTCCTTGGATTGTTCTTGCAAGGCAACCAATCCTGACCTCAGCCAGACCCAGCTAGCCTTGCCACGCCCCTGGCTCAGGCCACGTTTGCAGCTTGAGAGGGGTGGGGGGGCTGGGCCAGAACCTGTGGCGCTGGTGAGGGGAAACAGTGTCTGGGCCAGGTTCTGCTTTGCTGCACAGGACTGGAAAGGTAAGTACAGGAAAGCATCTGATGGGCAAGCTTTCCCTGTGCTGTGCTGCTTGGGCCATGAAGGGTCAGGCTGGGCCGGCACTGGGGAGAGGAAACAGCTGTGGCACAGTCAGCACCAGGAAGGAGAGATGGCAGCGGAGCCACATGCCACTCGGGACAGGATGAGCCCAGCCGGAGCAGCAAGGTCTCAGGTGCATTTCCCCCCTACCTGCGCCGGTCAGTCCCGAGGGGCATATGGCTCCACCGCTGCTTCTGCTGGCTGGTGCAGATGCGGCTAGGCTCGCCCCATCCCCAGCAGCATGTGGGAAGCTGGCTTCAGCCACATGCTGCTCCAGATCAGATGGACGTGGCCGGGTCTGGAGTGGCCAGGAAGGGCGGCATGCAGCTGAAGTTGGCTTCTCACGTGCTGTTGGGGACGGGAGGAGCATGGCTGGGTCTGTACCAGCCAGCAGAAGTAGTAGCAGAGCCGTGCGCTGCTCAGGATGGGACAAGCCTGGCTGCAGTGGAAGGAGCTCAGCTGCACTTTCCCCCTGCCTGCACCAGTCAGTCCTGAGTGGCACACAGCTCTGCTGCCACTTCTGCTGGCCAGTGCAGACTCAGCCGTGCCCGTCCCATCCAGAGCAGCATCCAGCTGAAGCCAGCTTCCCACATGCTGCTGGGGATGGGAGGAACCTGAGGGTAGGAGTCCCTAGAAATGCCCCTTTTGGTACCTGGGTGGAGCATTGGAACCTGGTAAGAGCTAGAGAATTCTCCTGCATCCTTACAGGGATGACAGCAGTGGCTGAACAGCAGGGAAAGCAGGGGCCCCGATTTGTAAGCTTCTGCTCTCTCCATATTGGAGAATGCCTTGGTCTTTAATGAATTGAGGGCTATTTGATTGTTCAATGAAATCAATTGGATGGACTGAACTTTTTAATGATTAATGAGCTGTGGACATTTTGATCTCTATTGTTTATTTGATTGCCTATCAGAATTAATTGGTCATGCTAATTTTCCTAGTGATTAATGAATTCTGGACAGTTCAATTTCAATGAGTATTGCTCTTTGATTTCCTATTGGAATTAATTGAACAGATTTTCTTAATGGCCAATGAATTATGAACATGTTTTATTTCATTGCTTATCATTTACTTATAATTGACTGATTAGACAGAAAATTAGACAGGCTGA